TTTTGTTCCTCTCTTACTCTCTTTTGTGTATATTTAAATAATTCTCTTTCCCTTATAATATTTTATTACCAAAATTTTCCTTTTTTTGCATAAATTTCATCTTTTATCACATAAATTTTATTTGTAAAAAACAAAAAGAAAAGCTCTTAAACTTTTTTATTTACTTTTAATTACAAATACATAAAAAAGAAATTGAAAGGAATAAAAAAGAAAACTGGACCTATCTACAATATTTATTGAGAAGGCTATCAAAAACAAAAGTAAGAAAAATAAGAAAATAAAATTTATGAAAATATGTTTTCATTAAAAATGTACCGTTATCATAAACATAAATTTTCCTCTTTTTTTTTTTTTATTAGCTAAAATGTTTGTGTGTGCGTATGCAAGATTTTCCATTTTTCATATTATATTTTTCTTTTTTTTATTATTATTATAATTTTGTTGTTGTTGGGTTTTTATAGTTTTAATGTATAGCCAACCAACCGGCAAATATGAGGGGGAATATATATATACATATATATATATATATTTTATATTTTGTTTCTCTTCTTCTTTTTATTACTCTTATTGGATTTTTATGTTTTATTGAAGTCATTTCCTTCCACCCTTTCAATTCTACCAATATGTATATACTTTTATATTATGTATACCTACAATTGTATATTTGAAATATACACATTCATTATATACATATACATATACTATAATTACATATATAATAATATTGTACTGTTATACAAGTGAATATGTAATAAAATCAACTGTGTGTATGAATGTATTTGAAAATATAAACCCCCGTGTATATAAAGAAAATATCAAGAAAACAAAAAAAAAAAAAGAATCGAAAAATATAAAAAATTAAAAACCATTCACCTTTTTTTTTTTTTTAGAAAAGAAAAACAATAAAAAGCAAAATTAAAATATAAAAGAAATAATATTCTTCGGAGTCCTGTTTTCATAATTTCATACATCGAAGGTATTCCACAATACACAAACTATGTAAGAATGTAAAAATATTCAATAATACAATAAAATGCACAATATGTATGTTTGTATGTATATGTAAATATATTCACGGTAGACCTAAAAATACTAACAGTTTATCTAAATTTAAAACATGTACAAAGAAAGACTATGAAATTTTGTTTCTATTCTAAAATTTTTGGAAACTAGTAGTATAATAATATTCATAGGTGTTATACACCGCAGACTTATGGTATTTGATATATTGGCATATACATTAATTATATATTTTAATATATTTATATATAATATAATTTGTGTATGTGTTTAGGAAGCCACAATATATTAATTTTTGATATTTTATATGATATTTTAGAAAGAATGAACATATAAGGATGGAATTATTGTACACATATTGTGGATGCACATACACTTATGTAGGGTTACATTTTTATGGGAGTTTTAGATTTCAATGATCTGTTTAAGAAATGTAATTAAAATTGGAATTTCTACAATACAAAATTTTTTCAGATTCTATTGAATCTTAAGGAATTTTTACAATATAAATAAAATGAAAATTTACAAATTATGCACGAATAAATTTCCTTGCAGTCCAGTATGGTCTTTAATGGGTTAGGTAAATTTTTAAAAAATATAATTTGGAATGGAAAATCTCGTGTTTCTAAAAGAAAATTTTGATTCCATAATAAAAATTCAATTTTAAAATTTTTCCTTTGATTCCCTTTCCTTGTTTTGTTCCAAAATTTATATTTCACTTTTATAACATAATGTGGCACATATGGCTTTATTGGTTGTATAATATTAAGCTCAGCAAAGCATTGTGTTCATATACTCAACAAGATGCATTTTTTTTTTAAATCATTTAAAATTAAGAACTGCAGGGTTTTGAAAAAAATCATACATTTAAATTTTCTTGCATTTAATTCCCAAAATGTATTCTAATTTGTTAACTAATTCAATTCCTACAATTTCTAAATATTTAAGGGGTAATACTTTTTCTCTTCACCCTACATATATATAATTTATAAATTAATTTAATAATAAATTATTATTATAAAAATTTCATATATCATTATTAGAGTGACGTGAATAATGTCCTTGTATCTATTTATACATATAAAGTGAGGAAGCATTATACTTCACACATGTACTCTTGTTATATAATTTTAATATATTTAAAAAAAAAATGTTCATAATGAAGTCATAAAAAGTGTTAAGTTTTTTTAATATAAAAAGGTCATTAAAATCTTATTTCGAAAAGATTAAAAAGAAAAATAAAAAAAATTTATTTTATTTTTTTTTTTTTTTTAATGAGAAAATCTTTTGATTTTAAGTAAACCATAAGGAATTTAAAAATTAAAAATAAAAAAATAAAAAATTTATAAAATGTATTCTTTGTATACTTGATTTTTATTTTTTATTTTTCTCCCCATAATTTAAAATAAAAATATTCAACTTTTTATTAAAAGAAATTCTATAGTCTACTTTACATACATATACTCCAAAAACCGAAAAATAAAAAAAATACAAAATTAAAATGTCCTTATCTATTAATTCTGCATTTTTACACTATACAAAAAATATGCGTACATACATACATACATTCATAATTTTTACATTAAATCTATTATACAGAATAATATGACGTCAATGTGATGACATTAAATATTAAAATGCATTTACATCCCTTCTGATTATTCTCTTTCGTTTCTATTGAATGTATACCATACCAATGTATAAGTATAAATTTTCAAACACACACATGCAAACACACACATAGTAATGTTTAGTATAACAGAAAGTATAAAAGTAATTTTAAAATTCCAGATAATTTTATTTTTTTTTTTTGTAAAGGATCAAAGATAAAAGCAGAGTAAATGCACATACTTATGTATACGTATAGGTAAATAAAAATATCCTTGTAATTTTTTTTTTTTGAATTTAAATTAAAATACAAAAATATTGTGTTATATAAGGTGTAACAAATTGTTATATGGTGAAAAAATATAGTGTGTTAAAATTAAATGAGAGTAATAGAAAAAAGGAAATTTTAAAAAATTTTTATATTTAATTTGCATGCATGCGTTTTGTTAGAGAACCAAATTTTCCAATTGAAAAAAAGAAGAAGGAAAAAAAAATATTTCTTTAGAATTTCAAAATTATATTAAGATTATTTTACATGCGTATATGTACATTGATTGGTGTATAATCATCAAGTTAATCATAAAAGATATGAGTAAATGACCCTCTTTTTATATTTCTCTTTTTTCTTTTTATTATCACATTATGGTTAATAATATAACAGATAAAAGTGTTGAAAATTTCATAATATTATTAATAATAAAAAATTTAATTGGACAAGATCAAAGGAAATGTTTAATGTTACTGTTATTAACCCTACACATTTTTCATAATAAAATTTCTCTCTCTCTCTCTCTCTCTTTCTTTTCTCACAGAGAATTTATATGATTTTACGGTATGATAGTATAGACAAAATTCCGTTTATTTTATTTTTATTTTGTTGCTTATTTTATAATTTTACATGTATATAAAATTAACGTTTCACTGTTACGTCATTGTAATTATTGTGATATGGGAATTAGTGAAAAAGCTTTTTTTATAATATATACGTAAATTTTTTAAATAAATACAATAACACTCGAAGGAATAAAATATTTTTCGCGTTGGATTCTTAAATATTTTAGAGATTATATTGAGATAAAAGATGTAGGTGCATGTAATTGAGACATATGTAGGTAGGTTCATATAATTATATATACTTTTATTATATTGCGATATACGTAAGCATTACCAATATATTGTGTATTAAGTATATATTATATAGCAATAAATTTTTAACAAAATAATTAAATTGGTTTGGTCCTGTAAAAATTTTTATGTCAACGTATATACAGGTTGATTCACCGAAAATTTGGGAAAATTTCAATTTTACTCATTTTCGAACCTCTACCCGGTGGTATATGGTTCCTAACTTGTCAGTGAATCACTCTGTATATATAACAATAAATTTTATATGTACATATTATTAAAATAATTATTTTATTTACTTTAATTATTATTTCAACATGTTTGAATTTTTTTATCACTTCTCTCAATTGAGATACTATCACCTCTATCAGTTATTGTGATTTACTATATATGAGCTATAGGCTACAGAACAGAATTTAGTTTACGCATACAAAGGTGTAGCTGTAGCGAAAATTAAAAAGTGATTTTTGTTTTAAAATTATTAATAATTACTTTAAGTACATTTTATTCAATTATTTCAATTTATAAATTCGAATCTCCAATTGATTAATCCGTAAACACAAAAATTTAAAAAAAATGTTACTCTATTCCATTACCCATTTAAATTAATTTTGTTGCTTAATGCGCCATCTCTTATAATTTATTCGAACTTTTAATAATATTAATGCATTAAAACAGGTGATATTTTAATTTATAAAGAGAAATTTGTAATTTTGAGCACTAGATGGAAAATTCATTTTGAAATGGTTTGCGTCTTTACTAATTCAGAAAACAAAAAATGTGGTGGAAATTAAGTTTTAAAAATGAAAAAACCGCAAAAGTTGAAATCTAAAGGCGGTGGTGAAAATTCAAAAAACTTCACCTTATTATGTTTTCATTGTTTTTGTATTGTATAGTTAAATTAATTATATTGTGAACACACACTGTTAATGCTAATGTGTAGTTTCTACAGCCTTATAAAAGTTGTTGAGAACTTATAATATGCCTAAATTATTATTGGAAGATTTTAAGTTGCATTATAATAATATTTTATTATATTATTTCAGCATTAGGAATTATTGCTGCTAATATGATAAAGATTGCATACTTCGAGAATAAATTATTTTTTAAAAATATTTGCACTCAACTCTCAAAAAATCCTTTTGAATTATGTATATATTTTATCAAAAAATTTTGTATATGTATTTAAAAAGAGGAAAAGGAGAAATATAATATGGTAAAAATAGTAATTTTTATAAAATACTCACCATTTTTTCTGTTTTGCATAATTCTCTGTACTTCTCCTGCTTCAGATCCACTTTCACTTTCATATAAAAAAGCACGTGGTTTTCCCATTTGTAATGTCATTTGATTTTGATGTTGCTGTTGTTGCTGCTGTTGGCATGACAGTGATGATGGTGATTGCATTGATTGTTGCTGAACTTGTGGTTGTTGTTGATATTGATTGGTATTACAAGAAAGATTTGCACGAGCTGGATTAATTGGCCTATAAATTTGATCTTTTACTTTTAAGAATACAACACTGCCCGTTTGTTGCGGTTGAGCATAGTGCTGTCGTTGTGTTGGTTGTGACTGTGCTTGTGATTGTTGCTGTTGTAATTGATTTGTTCTTTGAACTGAAGAATTTGGTGAAAATTGTTGACGTGGTTGTTGTTGTTGCGGATGATGGTTAAGTTGAGAATATCTTGGTACAGGACTGTGATGCAAAGGTCTTGGACTATGTTGCATTGGTGTCCAATATATTTGGCTTCCTTGATAAGGACCATTTACAGAACGTTCTAATATTAGTGGTGTAGATCGACCATCCATTCGAGAAGATCTCATATGTAATTGTGGTGGTCCTGGTGGTGTTGGTTTTAAATGAATATAACCATATGGGCTTGGTGGTAATATTTGACCATATACATCGTTATTAGAATTACCTGTTGCAGTAACTAACGGAGATACAGGTGAATTTCTGAATTTCACAACTTGGCTTGGTGTAATTTTGTCACTTTCCATAATTATAAACTGACTTGATGAAGTTCTAGTCGTTGCTGTTGCTTGTGGTTGCTGTTGTATGTAAATTTGTTGCGGTTGGTTTGGTATATGACCGTTTGGTAAGAAAACGGAATCAGTTTCACTGGTTTGCGTTTGTAATCGTGGTCTATTACCCACTTGTCCATTTGGAGAATGTGTTGTAAAAGTTCCATTATGTTGCGTGTAAATTACATTACCTCCTGCATTTTGAAATCTTGTTGGACTATCAAGGGCATCGGATGTATTTGATTGTATACTATTTCGTTTAATTACGTGAGCATAAATAGGTGATGTTGATGGTGTTGTTTCGCGAGGTGAAATTTGATGGGTTTGAGGAAGACTTTGTATACGTTGTGGTACTTGTGGTGCTAGAACTTTTCTTTGTGGAGTGATATTTCCACGACTGTGAGAATCTACAGAAGTGTAAGAAATTGGAGAAATGTCTGATGGTATTTTGCCATTCATTTCACGATGAATATGTGATGTAATTGGGGTAGGTTGATTTGCAATTGACAATTTCGTTGGAGTTTTATTCATTGATTTACGACAAAATTCTTTAACTTTTTGTAAAATTTCTTCTCGTGTCAATGTGGAGCCTGTTGACGATGTTTCTTTTCTGCGTAAGCGAACTGGTGTGCCCATACCATCGCTCTCTACGCCGCTGTATCCTGGACTATGATTTAAAATTTTATTTTGATGACCTGGACTGAGCATTTCATCGAGAACACTTTGACTACGAGGAGGATATGGTCCATTTGGAATGTGTTCTGGTTCTCTAATTGGAATAATATGGTTCTCTGGAACGTTGATCGGATTTCCATCGATAATTTTTGCATTTCTATTACGTAAAGGAACTCCACTAAATGTATTGCGTTGTGGTGAACCTCTGACGAAATTATCTTCAGGAATTAATTGAGCGTAAAGCGGTTGTTGTTGCAAATCATTTTGGAAAGATTTCCTGATTTGTGGTTGTATTTGTTGAGAAAAATATTGCTCTTGCGTCGCTCCTGGATTAAATTGTTGATGCTTTTGGTGAATTGTGACCTTTTCATAAATATTTTCTGGTTTGATTGGTCCATTGCTAATAGGTGTTTTATTTGAACTAACTGTTTGGGCTGCCCTATTAAAGAGCTCTCTATCAGTTTTTTCTTTTATTTCTTTTAATTTATTCCACTCTTCGATACCCACATTGTAGGATGTATTTGCAGTTGAAGAGGTACCTGTATTTACAGGAATGGGTGATAGAGGTTTTTGAATGATTTTGATTTCTTTCTGCTCTTTCGAATCTATTGGCGTAGATGTTATTTTAGGATCCAAAAGATCTTCTTTAGAATTTTTTGGAGTATTCACAGAACTAACACTTTTCTGTGAAATAACACTTTGCCTTGTTGGCTTCGGTAATGAACTACTTTGTCTTCCTCCACTACGTTTAATAATTTCATGCCGATCCATAGAAGCTGATCTACCAAAAGACATTGGTGGTTCTTCTTGATTTGGTGTTGTTACTCTTTTTTGTACCATCGATTGCCGTTCAAGAGATCTTTTAAGTGGAGTTGCAGATTGTTTTTCATTACGATCTAAGCTTTTTATAGGTAGGGGTTTTAAAGAACTTATTGGTAAGCTAGGTCGTTGTACTTTTGGTTTTACTAAGCTATTTCCTAAGTTTTCACGAGCCTCATGTTGTGATTTTGATGAATGAAAGTTTTGTAACCTCTCCCTTGAAGTTGAACGAGACCTTTGTTGTTTTGATGATGAACCACTATTTATTTGTACAGTTCCAGGGTCGCTACTCCTACTAGATGATCTTGGACCACGATGCTGTTGCTCCTTATTAAATGCTGGTTGACGTAAATTTGAATCATTTGCTTGAATATCTTCAGGAAATTCTTCAGCATTTGTTAAGGCACTTGATATTGAACTTGAACGATCGTCACCTGCCGCATAACTTTTGCGGGAACGTTCAATGTGCTTTTTGAATTCATTCGAAGAATTTAAACTATTTCCTGAACTACCATGAAAACTTTGCCGTTCTAATATAACACGTTTATTATTAAGAGATGTTTTATGGCCATTTTCTTTTGGATATGAAACAGGTGTAGGAACTGGCTCTTTGGGAGTGGTTTTTCGTTTTGATGAAAAAAATCCACTTGATTTTATTCTTTGTAATACTGATTGTTTCTTTTGCTTTTTCTGATCCATTTCGGTTGTTTCTAATATTGGTATCTTATTTGATGATTTTTTTTCACTTAATTCCAATTTAGGAATATTGGTTGGTGTACTATCCGTATTAATAACTTTACTTGAATTAATTAAAATTTGACGTTGTGGCGTCAATTGTAAACCTTTTCTATCTAAATACTCTTGAAATTCTTTTGAATTTACTGTATTTGTAAATGATTTATTTTCATTTGTTGTAGTATTTGTTATTGATGTTGCTTTTGTATCACTTGATATACCATCGACTTTATCAGTTGTATCAAGAACTAGTTTTAATTCATCACTAGAATCACTTTTAGTAAGCGGTTCATCAATTTCTTCTAAATCATCATCTGAACCAATATGTAATGTTTTAATACGTTCATCAAATTTCTTTGCATTCTTTGTAACTTCTTCTGGACTAAATAGCGATTCTTCGAGATCTGTACCAGTTTTAACTTTGATATCAGATAAATCTGGATAATTAGCTTTAGAGACTTTTTTAAATGTAGGAATTTTTGCACTAGGAGTTTTCAATAATTTTGTTTGTAATGGTGCACCAGCTGAACTACATTTATTTCGAAGCTCTTTTAATCTAGATTGAGTTTGTGCTGATAATTTCGATTTTTTCTCTTTTGGTTTTTCGTTATCTTTTAATTCTTTTAAATCTTCATATCTTATACGTTGTAAAATTGTTGGATCATAAACAAAAACTTTATCTGGATTTTTAATATAGGTTTTAACATATTTAGATTGATTTAATACTTCTTCAGTTGTTATGAATTCTGGTTCAGTTGAAGTTGTACTTGTTGAATTTAATATTGAAAATTTATTTGTTTTATCTTTATCTCGTCGTAATTTAAAAACTGATTTCTTATTACTATTATTTTGTTTTGTTAATGTATCACTTAGTTTATCATCACTACCATTTGGAATGAAACCATTCTTAAATGGATTCTTTTTATCAACAATTATTTCACCTTCAATAAATTTTTTTATTGTTTCATCATCTGGATCAAATGATACTGATTTTTTTAATGATGATTTTCTAGGTCCAGTACCATTTGTTAAAATTGATTTAGCTGGTGATATTTTTAAATCACCATTCACTTTGGTATTATTATCATTAAGTAAATTTGTTGTATTTAAAAATTTCTCTCTTTCACTAAATTTATTTGGTTCAATACTATTTAATTCAACTATTTTCACTTTAACTGGATTTATTAAACCTTGTATATTATTTGTTTTATTATTTTTCTTTTCTAATTCATCGATCTTATTTATTTTTATTTCATTACCATTTGTTTCATTTAATTTAATATTATTACTGTTATTTAATTTATTTGTTTCATTTTTTTGATATTCTTTATTAATTTCTGATTTTTTTATTTCTATATTATTTTTATTATTTTTATCACAGTCTTCAATTTTATTTTTATCTTTAATTATAACTCTTCTTATAGTATCTGTTTCGTTTTCAATTGTTGTCGTTTCTGTACTTGACGAAGAAGTTGTCGAACTTGAAATCTGTTTTGATTTCTTTAAAATTTCATTTGTTTCGATTCGGTTTCGACTTGAAATGTTGTTGTTGTTGTTGCTGTTATTGTTGTTTGTAATAATGATATTTTGATTTTCTTTTGTTTCATTGTTAATTGTTTCATTATCATTGTTGCAATTTGATTTTTCATTAAGTTCAGACATTTTTCATATGAAAATTTTAATTTTATTAAAATAATAGAAACAGAAGAAAGGGAAAGATTAAAGGAATGTTTTTGTTGTTGTTGATTAACATTTCGATAGATTAAAATTGAACCGATGGGTCCAAAAATGTGATGAATATTTTTCAATATGAAGTACGCCTGTAAATAAAAAAAAATAAATTATTTTTTAAATTTATTGTTGCAACAAATAGAGAAATAAATTTTAAATTTAAATATTACACTAGAAATATTTTTATTTAAGTAATCCATTAAGAAATTGGGATTATAACACAAACAGCTTTTATTAAAATTTAAACATTTTTAAATAAATTATTCATTCTTTAAAAAAAAAAAATTTCAGCCTAATTTATATTAGACTGAAATCAACTGGTCTACTAGATCATATGAAATTTTTTTTTAACTAAAATTTTGGAAATTTCGTACACTGTTTTAAAATTTATTAAAGTATTATTTATTCTTACTATAAAATATTAAAAATCACTCCATAATTTCTCAGATTTTAGAATAATCTCATATATTAAAGTTGAGTCTAATCAATAAAAAATTTCTAAAGAAATCGATTTAAGGAGAACTTTTTGTTCTTGAAAATCTTTAAATTTTAAATAAAAATTTAAAGAGTATTTTTCTTTAAAAACTTCAATTTTATTACATTATATCTTTACAAAAGGACAATAAGGATACTTTTGTCCTCTTTCAAGGAAAAAAAAAACGAAAACTTGAAATAAATAAAAAAAACCAAATAAGAATGTAATCCTTTTCTTCTTCTTGTTCAATCAGAAAACTTTAATAAGGATTTTCTCTCTCAGTACATTCCTTTATCCTTTTCCCTTATATCCTTATTCATGCTTTTATTACTGTTTAGTTAAGAGTAATAATAACTTAGACTTTAAGTATATTATTATAATATATGTAGTTATTTATTATGTTTATACACGCATACATTAATTTTATTCAAAAATTTTATATGTAGTTAAGAATCCTTTAAAATAATCAAGCAAGAAAAAATCAAGGGTTTGTCTATCTCATGTAATATTTTTGTAATAGGATTTGAATATGTTAAATCAATTAAAAAATTCATTAAAAAAAAATAAATTGAAAATTTTTGTCAAAGAAACTTTGTACCTGATAATATATGAAAATTTTTGTCAAAGAAAGTGTGTTGATAATATACTCGTAGTCATGTACAGTCCAGTTTCCATTAAAGAAGAAGTCTTAGAAAAATTATGTTCGTTATAACTAGTTTGATGTGGTTATTCATGTACTCTATACATTTTGCAAACTAGTTTTAAAAAATAAGAGAATCCTAATCTTGTATTCGTACAGTAGAGCTACGGCTTATGATCATTTGGAGATAATAATATTAAGTACCAGCTAGTTTTAATAAGATATCCGTTTTACTGTTACTTTTATTTAGTTGAACATCAAGGTTTCATTAATCATGTTTTTCAAATCAAGTTCTTCAAATTAGTTTTAACTTCAGTCTCCAATAATTTAAATGATTTATGCAGGAATCCTGCCACAGAAAAATTTCTCGAGAATTTTGTGAATTTGTTTTCATGGCTTTTACAAACACTACAATAATTTTACGTTGTTACACTCTGTGTTGATTTGTATATAAAATTTTTTTTGAAATTTTTAATAATATTTCCTGAACAAAAAGAAGTGCTTAATTTACAATAATAATTTGTGAAAAAAAAATTTTTTACTTAAAAAGAATTTTACAAAATGAATTAATCCCAGTCTATAAATTTTCGAAAATATTTTTTGTTTATGATCCAACAAGGACAAATTAATAAATTGTAGATAAAATAATTTCTAAATAAATTTTTAGTCATCATAAAAATATTTTCAAGCGCTGTAATGAATTGAAGAAAAGGGTCAAATTCACCCCACTAGATAAGGGCAAACCCGTAATAACTTTTGAATTTATGCTAAAGTATAAATATACGGCTTTTAAATCAATACAAGTCTGCAAACAGACACGTAATTTAATTTAATTTTAAAGTTATTTAAAGGAATTACATTGCAAAACTTTCATGCTTAATTAAATTCTAGTTCTCATAAAAGAATCAATACAATTTTAAAGTTTAAATTAAATCGCAGAGTTTCAATTATATTAAATTCATGCCCAACATATTCACATTATCAATAACACACCTTTAAAAATTATTTCGAAAAAATAGCAATAATATTAAATGAAAAAGACAAAAAAATTTCAAAATTAATTGAATTGATAAAAAAATAAAATGCTTATCAATTAAAAAGTCAATACAAATAGTTGATAAAAATGAAAAAACAAAAAAAGAAAAATATTTATATTAAGAGTATGAAAACATGCTTTTCACTTTTCAATTAAAGTAAACATTTTAGATCCTAAATTTTTATTTATTTAACACAATTTATTTCAGGTATTATGAATTTTCTGCTTGCTTTACAATACAATGAGAGCACACAAATAAAATTCAAAACGGAAAATATTTAACAGTATATACAATTTTCCAAATGTGAAGCGAAAATAGTCGAAACCGGTTTTAAAATCAGAAATTTTCAAAAGAGATTTTCAAGTGTAATTTTCATTAAGGATTCATTGGAAAATGAGAATTGCTTTAAGAATGTTTTCGTTCCGAATCGTAGTGATGGTGTAGATTTAAAAACTCTAAACATATTATACTTTACTCTCAGGAACACAATCGTATATAAAGAAGTACTTCAAAGCAGTTTTTGCGCTCTGTTTCCGATTGATGACTTCATATTTTCGTATGTCACCTTTTCAATATTGTATACAGATGATTTTATATATATATAAGAATTTATTACTATAATCTTGCTAGAATTTCTAAAAAAAGCAGAATTTTATTTAAAATCAATTCCTAACTACTTCGGAGTAGTTCGGAGTATTATATTCCATTTAAGAGGAAAAAGACAATAGTATCTATTCAATATTAGAAATTTTGCATATAATATGTGCATGCACATATAACAAATTATAAAACACTTTGTTTCAGTTTTAGAAATATTTTTTCACTTCAAAAAAAAAAAAATTTTATTCCGAAACAATAATATTTCCGAAATTCGGTAAATGTCATGAATATTATAACATATATGTTATTTATAACATATAACAATATAAAATTCTTAATTATATTCTATGAATATATATAAAGCGACAATAACTGGTAAGATATAATAGATTCTTTCAACGTGATTATACTCTCGAAAAAAAAACAGAGTGTATGATATAAAAAATATTTGAATTTTTAAAATTAAAGAGAGTCATAACATTTACCATACACTACTATTTCATTGTCATACCAATTATAATAATAATAAAGATAGTATAGGAGCAATTTAGAAAGAAATCATAAAAATTCAAACCGCATTTAGTCCGATATTCCATTTTAATTCAGCACGTGCTACAATTTAAAATTGAAAATATTTTTATATTTAATTTTATTCAAAAAAATTTTTTAAAATTAATTCTAAAAAAAAAACCATAGAAAAAACCTAACATAATGTTTGACCCCATTACTAAGTTATCTGTTATACACGCACAAATAATCTAATATAATATTATATAAATTTATAAACAAAGGTAAAATTCTCTTATATTTTTTTTCTTATAAACCAAAAATTTAAAATTAATTTTTCCACATTTTTCAGGTTATTTGTAAAAAGAAAAAATATTTGAGCAATTTATTGCTAAATTCTATGCAGAAAAATTTCCTCCCCCCTATACCCACATAGTTCCTTATTTTATATTAATTTTCCCCATTTAAAATTGTTATATGTACATTTATGTATACATAGGTATGAGTATATGTGTTATACAATTATTTTGTAGCAATTTGTTTATTCAAGTAATTTCTTGACCACAATCAATATTACAAAACGGAATCTTCACACAATACCTATATGTATACGTATAGATATTTGCAAATAAATGTACATATGTTCAATTTATATAGAAACAAAATGATTGTTTAATTTCTAAACTTCAATATTTTATTCTACACCATTTCTATCTATTTCTTACTTGGAAAACATTTTATAACATGATTCATGAACATCCTTCAATTCAGTAATAATAAAAAAAAAAATTTCTCTTTTATCTGTTCTTATCAAAACTTAAATTTCAAAAAAAAAAAAAAATTTTTTTTTTTTTATTCTCTTTTTTTCTTTGTCTCTCTTCATTTTCCAATGATCGATTTAATTGAATAGAATGAGGTTTGTTTTTGTCAGACTTTTGACATTTATATCCACAATTAAAGAACAATATAAAAATATAAGAGAAAAATAAATGAAAAACAGAGAAAACAAAACAGAGAGAAATGTAAAAATAAAATGAGTTGTTTGACTTTTAAAATGAATTTTCAAGGAAAAATTCTCGGAAAAATCAGAAATTCAAGAAAAAATTTTTTCCTGTTTTTTTTTTTTTTATTTTTCTAATTTCTTTTTTCTCTTTTTTTTGTTTTCATTTTTTTTAGAGCAAAAAACGTTTGTATATAAAAGTCCATTCACTCAGTATAAATGGGGAACACTGCATTTAAAATAATTTTGTAATACGATAAAAAATATTCAAGGATATTTTCAATATATAGAAAATTAAATCGATAGTATACGAAATTAAAAAAATTAAAGCTAAAAGTAAATGAGAATTATAGAAGAGATTATTGCAGATATAAAATAATGGGTTAACGATATATCCAAATCAACAATGCTCTTTGTTCTCATCCACACAAATATATGCATATATATATATCATGTAGTATAAACTTGGTTGCATTATATAGTTGATGATTTTGTATAAATAATGTAGAAAATTATTTTCCCTTTTAAATGTTTACCCTTCATATATGATATCGGAATGTCAATTTTAATTAATTATTTAAAAAAAGGAATCTTTTATATCTTTAAGTTTTAATTTTAATTGAGCAGATAATAGTTTGCCACACATATACTTTTAGATGTACATATACGTTAATAGAATGGGAGAATATATTTTATAAAAAATTGTAATTCCTACATTTGTTGAGCCATTCAATTGATATTTTATATTAAATGAGAACATTAAATGAGGTCCGATTTATTTTTATATTTAATTATGTATTTTGGTTTGACCATTTTAAAAAAATTA